CTACCTCGCCAAACAGCTTGGTATCATTGGCAAACTTGCTGAGGGTGCACTTGACCCCACTGTCCATGTCCGCGATAAAAATGTTGAATAATACAGGTCCCAGTACCGACCCCTGAGGAACACCACTTGTCACTTCTCTCCACTTGGACATGGACCCACTGACCGCAACTCTTTGAGTGCGACCGTCCAGCCAGTTCTTTATCCACTGAGTGGTCCATTTATCGAATCCATGTCGCTTCAATTTAGAGACCAGGATATCGTGTGGGACGGTGTCAAACGCTTTGCACAAGTCCAGGCAGATGACATCCATTGGTCTTCCCTTGTCCACTGCCGCTGTAACCCCTTCATAGAAGGCCACCAAATTTGTCAGGCAAAAAAATGCTTTTGAAATATGTAATCACATCTACACAGCTACTATCCAAATCCATTATCTTTGATGGCATGTTGTTACAAGAAATTAATACATAAAGTAAGGGAAGACATCAGTTTTTTTATAAAAAACTGATTTAACAGGGATTACAAAACACTTTTTATCATCAATTTGTTATCAAAATGCTTGTAGGACACCACGCCTACATAGGGCTTCGTTGACATAAGAGACTAGAGCTACAGCAATTGTTCTGCATGACTGCTTTCAGATAGTCACCAAGAAGTATGGCCTCACTCACAGTTTGACTAGAATAAAAATAAAGCTAAAATGAATTGTATTTTGAAGAAAGAATATTAACAATTCTGCTAGGTTGTTGTTTTTTTTTTTCACAGGAACACATGTAACAATAGCTATAAGGAGGCATCCAGTAGCTTGATGCTGAAGAGCTGAGGAAAATAAATTTGAGGAGGAGGAAAAATGAACATTGTTAGTGAACTCTTTTCGAAATACACAAAAGTAACTACTCAGCTTTTAAGTTTTTACGAAGGCGAGAGACAAGCTTATTTTGAAATGCTGGAGGTCCTGTCTCGCCAGTCTGTGTTTAGTTTACCTGTGCCAGCCTGTATTTAGTTTACTCCTGCTAAGCAACAGGTCCCAAGTTCTCCACTTCATCCTGTAGTACCTGCTTTGGTTAATATTGATACTGGCTTCCGAAATCAGAGTCAGTGTGAAAGCTCTGGTGTTGCAGCCCTTACATAAACAGTCCCACTGGCTTTAAGAAGTGCCATATCTGGCGTCCGCTGCTGAGCACACTGGATGAATAGGATGTATTTTTCATCATAGGCTTTAGTAAGTCTGCAAAGTGATCAAATGCCTGTGTATCATCCTAAAATGCTTTGTTTTCAGGATGAACATCCTCTTTCTGAGGGCTGACTGAAAGGTTTTCCAGGTTGCACCTGCAGCCATGAAGATGCCTTTAGATCTCAGGTGAACTGCACTCTACCAGCAAACTAGTGAACAAGGCTGTTTTATGCACACTATAAGGAACATAAAGCCAGGCACAGCTCCACTTAGTTCCTCCTTTTCATTTTTATCTTTTTGAAGTAAAGAGATAAAGGAAAGAATGGAGCCAGGACTGGGATGGCTAGCTCCAAGTACAAATAAATCAGTGCTCTTGTTTTAAGGGCTCTGAGCTGCACCAAGACTTAGAAATGCTTGATAAACAGAAAGTGCAGACTGAGGATGAGGTTTGACTGAGAAAGAATAGGGAAAAGAATAATCTGCAAGTGTTTTCCAGATATTCTGGACTGATACATGTTGCTGCTGCTTCTCTCCTTCAGTGGAACAGTACCAAGTTAGAGCAGTACAGCACCTGGCCCTACTGTTTAAACTTGGAAAAAGGAAAACTTGCTTTGCCTGTTACTGAAAAACATGTTTTCTCTGGGCTGAAGCACAGCACTTGTTTAACAGCTTACACTATTTAGCAACTGTTGTCAAACAATAAAAAATATTTCATCCAAATAAAATGAAAATGGAGTTTTAGATAGCAAAGTGGAGTAATTCGCAGTGGAAACTGGCAAAGGTCCCGCAGCTAATCCTTCTTTTAATGAAAAGTCCAGGGAACCTTTCTGGCATGCTTAAACCCTGTTTCATAATAGGGCTCATCCCAAAAGGTAGGGAAATCTTTCTAAACTTAGACATATACTCACCAATTATTCCTTCTTTCCAATTATTTCCTGTGGGAAAAAAATAAAGCATACATTTTTGTATGTCTTCATTTAAAACACAGTTTGTTATAATAAGTATATATGTAGGCTCTGAATTGCCAAATTTAGTTAAGCTGTGGGACTGCTTGTATGAGCAGGTAACTTCTCATTTGTGATGAGCATAAAAGAGGTATTCTCTATATACCAGTGACTGAAAAGCTCTCAGAGTGTATTTGTTTTCCTCTTGTGAAGAACAGCTTTGTTTCTGACTCAGGGCTAAACTATTCAGGAAGTCGGAAAGCAGTACTTCGGAGCATGTGTTTGCAACACCCTCATCCTAACCTGGTGGCCTTGATTTTATTGGGACTAATGACATAGTAACAAAGAGTAACATGCCATCCTTGAGTATCTGAGGTGGTGTGCTAAGACCCTTGCATGCTCAAAATCTCAGACTGTCATCACATGGCTCTCCAAGTTGTGCCTTCTTGTTTCTAACTTCCCATATACTCCACTCAAAGGCCAAGAGTTCTGCCAGATTGTCCTGTTGCCCTTGGGATACATTGACCTCCTGAATCCCCCCCTTCCCCAGTTTCAGAAACAAACAATATGCTTTTGAGTTCATTTTCACCACATAAAAATTCAGATAAGCCCAAAAGTTTTCAGTCTTAGCAGCATTTTAGCTTTTACACACTCAGAAGAATTTTCTGCCGGGTAAAAAGTGAAAGGATGGTAATTCATAAATGCAGCACAGACACACACGCTTCCAGCATGGAGTCCTATAGATGAGCTTGCTCTAGAGATATAATTCACACCTTCTAAATATGAAAGTCTTTTTCTCCAGAAGGATTTAGAAGCTATAGTTTTGTACAAAACTTTGAAATAAAGCAGTCTGAAACAGCATCAGCATCTTTATTCCACTGATTAAACTGATTTAATACTTCTTTCTAAGACATTTATCAGACTACAGTATAAGCCAAAGGCAAAGCTCTGTCCTGAACCTAATGGTGCGGGGGGGGGTTAGTGGGGCCAAGTCATATCAATTCTGTAGTCCCTGGAGGTGGCGATGGGGCTAACATCATAGTTAGCTGGTTTTATTCTTTTCCGGTCAAAAAGAAAGGCTCAATTTTGTGGCCTGGGAGTGGACTTCAGTGCAAGGCTTGAAAGCTCACTTTCCTTGGTCTGTCTCTACATCTTCATGTTACAGCATATTGGTTCATGGTTATGGTTTATCTTCCTTTTCTGCTAATAAATAGGTGTTACACCATTTATTACACATTATGAAAAGGGAGTTTTATAAAAGAAATGGAAGTTTCTATTAAGAAAAATCAGTTATAGGAAAAGACAAATTCTGCATGAATAACTTCAGATCATGCCTTCTATCTTTTGACAAGAAAACAATGGAAGGAATCTCTCCTTCCTCTTCTTAATATAAAATTTCTAAATTCTTCTACCTGTCACGTGACACTGGAGCCACTTACCAAAACGTAGTTGTTTTGAAAGATGTGTCAAGACTGAAGAAAGATGACACAGCAGCCTCTTGGGACAAAAGAACTGTGAAATTTAAATGCAAAATCCTGTAACTGGTTGAAGGTTAGATTCTGGCCCCATATGCCCATATATTGCTCTTATTAGCATCAATAAGAGCCATGGATGTACATCCAAGGACGGATTCTGGTCCTCAGATGTGACTTAATAAAATATTGTGTGCTGAATATAAAGGAAGTCTGTACTTACAAACTAAAATTATCAGCAACAAAGTGGCAGACAATCCTCCCAGAAAATATCTGAGAACATAACAAGACCCATAATGGTTAGAAAAATACCCAAGGGCTGTGTATTGGCTTAACAGAGGTGAAGCCTGGGTTGGAGAAGGAAAGTACTTGCAGATGAACCCTCTGAACTCTGGTAGGTGAACTGCAGTTTGAAACTTTAGATTACTTACGCTATTGAGGAGAATCTCCTAGAAATAAAGACCTCAGCATTCCCAGACTGAGAGAAACACCCATATTGGTCACTTAGAAAGACATGGATCCATTCTGATTCTTCTCAGCCTTTCAAAACCCCTGTCCAAGCACACTTGACAAAGTAGTCATCATATCTGTGTATGTATTTCTGATTTTTGTGCATATCTGTGTAGCTCAGTATTTGCCTGCATTGACTATCATGTGAAAATGTACTTTCACAGTAAGATGTATCTAACTTTGAAAACGTGACCCTTAATTTACATTTTATTCACCAGTTGAAATGGAGTATGCATTATTATCAGAAACAACAAATAAAAGAAATAAAAATTACCTTGTACATATTGAAATGATTAAACACGTGATCAGTGCAACCATCTGAGAAAGGACATTTCGCACTATCCTGGATTCTAAAACAAAAATCAGGAAAATAATTTTCATGAGTTTTCAGGAAAGTAAATATAAGACACGAGGTGCCTGCAGACTACCTTCAGCCTGTGAGGCCAGTCTCTTCAGTTTCTTTTGAAGAGAATTCCCCTAGAGTGATTCAAAGCAGAAACCTAATTTTCATGCTCTGGGTGTTTCTCAGGAGTCTTTTTCCCCCACAACCATAGAGACACTGTGCCCTCCATGCTCCCAGAAAACAAGCCTTTCTGAATAATTGCCTGTTTCTGTTTTTGTTCCCATGCCCTTTCCTCCATTTTTCTCTTCACTTTTTTCTCTTTTTCCATTTATCGCTGAAAATAGGAAAGGCAAAGATGTGAGCAGGGAGGAGTAAACAAATAAATACCAATTTTAAGATTTTGTTATTTTTAAGCAGTTATTTAAAATGTATGTTTCAGGAAATAAATTCTATTCTGCAAGGGGCCATATCAATATTTTTAATGTGAGTATTTTCAGCTCACTTTAAAAAAGAGGCATATCAGAGTCAGAATGCAACATACCTTCATTGCTCAAAGCCTCTTCATCAGCATTTATCATAAAGGGAGAGCAGAATTTTGGAGCACAATGTGGCTTGTCAGGATGAAGAAACTCGTCATCTTTGGTGAGAGAGGCCCCATTAGATTTTGCAGTTTGCCTTTGTGCCGCATGGCTATCGTAGGCAGAAGAAAAGTCTGAATCACCTACAAAAAGTGCATATGCAACAGAGATTGCACAAAACAGCTTTGAGACTTTGTGATAATGAATTTGGGGGGAGGGGGGAGATTTAATTACTTAGTCACAGGGAGGTTTCCAAATTATTAGGAGGAGGGAATTGGCAGGTTCAAGGTATGCAGGAGAAAATATACAGAGTAAAGACAAAACCGCATAGAGTGTAACCCAATGAAATTATTAAAACAGCCAGGTTAAAGCAGACAGTGCCAGATATTAATGACACCATGACATCAATCACACTGGTAATGACTTTGGATTCAAATTCAGTCTAAAAATGCCTTTTTTGGCACAAAGGTCTTTGCGGACTCATACTCTGTTTTAATGCCAGGAGCTCAATTCACCACTTACAGTTCTGTTGTCCATCTGTCCTTTACCTGCGCATCTTGGCAGACACAAAACCTGCAAAACCTAGAGAAAGAGATACCCAACTCCCACTACATATAGTCTGTAATGTTGTAGCTCAATTACTAGGTACCAGCTCAGGGCTTACCGATATCACTCTGACTGGCTTCTAGTTTATTGCATCCATCAGGCCAAGGATCATCTCCATGGGAGGAATCGATATTGCTGAGGATGGTGCTGCTGAGCCATGAACTGGAGGCATCAAGACTGAACAAGGTGGCAAGAGAGCGGTGGATTTTCTTCCTTCGCCTGAATACGCTAGAAAGAATCATAGAAGAGAATCACAGAATGGTTTAGGTTGGAAGGGACCTTGAAGATCATCGAGTTCCAACCCCCCTGCCATAGGCAAGGACACCTCCCACTAGACCAGGTTGCCCAAGGCCACGTCCAGCCTGGCCTTGAACACCTCCAGGGATGGGACCTCAGCAACTTCTCTGGGCAACCTGTCCCAGTGCGTTGTCAAGGAACAGAATCATAGAATGGTTTAGAGTTAATTATTCTTTTTGAGCAGGGACAGAGCTCTAAAGCTTGCAGGATTGACATGAAAACCGGGTTCTGGGTGTTCCTAGCTCTGTTCTTTACCAGGGGTATGTCACCAAATGTGACTGCTGCACGCTGCCGTAATGTCAGGGAATGTATTACCATCACAGGGATATATCATGTTGTCGTGATACTGGATATTGGGATACCAAATGATACTACAGTTATTGGTTACAGTTAATGATACTGCTCTGAGTGGTCTCACGCTGCCTATGAGTTTCACCCTACTGTGTCCCAGCCTGACTCCACTGTACTTCAACTTTTTTGAACTACATTTTATATACCTTCCTAACATCCTAAACTGATGTTCTTCTGAAATCAAGAAAGTTTTTTCCTTAAGCATTCCAGGACCAGAACGTTTTATTTTTATATATATATATATGAACATATACATATATACACACACGCATTTTCTTATTGCTTATCATGGTAAAAACCCATTGGCAAAAGGAGCTGTTGCTCTCCTTTTTCTTTATTGCACACAACTCCAATTACAGCAACAACTGTGTGCTGAAGAGTTTTGGGGTGGTAAGATTAGACAAGACTGAAAATCGAGTTATTTCCATCACTGCACTCTCTAAACTAAACCTGTTGAGATGCTCCCATTAAGAAGCGCTGCTTCTGCCAAGCAGAATGCAGACAGACACTCAGATACCTCCAGATAAGTCCAGAGATGTGGAGGCAATTGCCAACATTGAGTAAAATCTGCGCATAGTTCACTTACCGAACTAAATTCTCTTTGTATGTAACACTTGTCTGGGATGGTGTCAGCGTTATGTTGCCCTCTTCATCAGACACAAAACTGTCTTCTGTCAAAACATAATAGCCGTTCGAAAGCAGGCGAGGGCTGCGGCGACGTGTGGAAGGGGAGCCTGTCGGAGGATTTGTGGAACAACGCTCATAGGCAGGGTCAGCGTCCAAAAAGGCACAAGCATAACTGAAAAGGAGAATTGGAACCCTCTAATTTAGTGAATGTCTAGACAGTGTGAACCCATGATTTAATAATAATGTATTTACATTTCCAGCTGATGGGGGCTGGTAATGACACAGGTTTAAAATATGGGGATAATGATATTACTTCTGGACCCAGGGGGTTTCGGCCAGCTAGAGTGTGCCTGCATCACACTTTCCAGAGCTTCACATTACAGGAGGGCTTCATGCCAGGTGGAACATTTATTTCATGAACACGTGGAGCCAGCTTGAATTGAGAAGTGCATGGTATGTTTCCGCAGCAGTGCTCCTGGCCAAGGAGTCCTGCCAGATCTACACCTACCTGGAGCCGTCAGGAGTATTCCATTATTTTGCTTCTCTGAGTTACTCTGCATGGCGCAAGCCTGAGTGCCCCTGAACCAGGCAGGATTTATTTGCTTTTTATAACCTAGCCATACTTAATGAAGATTTAAGGATACATGACTTCTAATTCTCACAAATCCTAGAATATCATGCAGCTAGAACAACATAGGATAACGTCTACACATGGTGACAACTTCATTCAGCACTGAAATACCATTGACTTTGAGATGAAATGTAGCACAGAAAAATATACTATGTGGTATTTAAAACAGAAGTGAGTAGTGACAGGGGTGAAAGAATCTAAATGTTGTAGACAGACCTTATCACCACATTCCAGTATTTAAAGGGTGGTTACAAAGAAGGCGGAAACTCCCTTTTTACAAAGAGTCACATGGAAAAGATGAGGGGTAATCGGTACAAGTTACTCCTGGGGAGATTCTGACTGGACACAGAACAACCAGCCATTGGTGTAATTTCCCCAGAGAAGTGGTGGATTCCCTGACATCGGACACTTCGAAGATTCAGCTGGACAGGGTGCTAGGCCATCTTGTCTAGATCGTGCTTTTGCCAAGAAAATTTTGACCAGATGATCCTTGAGGTCCCTTCCAACCTGGTATTTTACAATTTTATGATACTTAGCTCAAGTAAAATTGGATTTATGGTTAGTCCTTTCTCCTCAACACCTTTGAGTTCCAAGTGGCCATGCAGTGACATCCATGGAAAGAAAGGAAGACACTGGATTGATTCAGTGGCTGATGTGGGTTTCAGTACCAGGTTTAACTATCCCATATGGTATGTCACAGAGAGATAACATAATCTCAGTGGAGGGAAAAGCAGGTGGAACAGAGATACTCCAAAACCTTGTCATTGCAAAGCCAGCGCTTCCATATCCACGGCAGTACTTCTGAACTTCCATTTAAAGCAGTAATTAAATTAATATCAGCACTACAATTCTAAGTGGCCCAAAAGGGATTTGACAAAATCTCCAACAAAATAAAAATAAAATCAAACAAGTATAATTTTCCTCAGTACCTTGGAAAAATATGTTGTGAGAGGCTGTGTCTGTGTTCTCCATTAAACGCTGTTGAACCTGCAGAGACAAAGGCCAAATAAGAAGGAGTCATTATTGTATCCACTGACAGCTCAAAGAGTTGACTGGTCCTCACTGAGAGGTACCTTTTGCATATCAAGAAGATCACAAAAGAAAAGGAAATTAAGGGAGAGACTAAAGGAGATAAAACAGATGAAAGAATAGGGGAAAGACATAGTGTCTATAGGAAACTCATCTCAACCAGGACAACACAGAATCAGAGCCAGTCATAATCAGATACTTGTACTCTGCACAGCTTACAACCTTGAGAGGAATAATTATGGACACACATGCAATAGCTGCAGTAATTTTATGGTGTTTTCCCAGAAATATGCTTCATGCCAAAAATAGTATGTGTACGGGCAACAGAAACAGAATAGAATGGAAGGGCCACCATTCTATTACAATATATTTTTCAGATTAAAATTGCAGATGTGGCACAACAGGCATAGAGACAGTGACAGTGACAAAGACTTGACAGTAATATTGCGACAGCAGGAAATAGGATTTGTCTGGATTACCATGGTTCAAGTGTGCACAGGGCTGCCAGATGTTCAGCATGGGACAGAATCAATCTTACAAAATATGAGCAATGGCTATCCATAGGGAGAATTTATATCTATTATTACATGGAAAGATAAAAGATATGACCTTTCCTTATATTACCTTGCCTCTCCTGAATCTTTAGAGTACCGTGCTTACAACACTGTTAATAAATGCTTGTCATTCACCTATGAGAGGAGACAGGTCTAAGAGAATTTTTTTTATGTTCAATTATGAGGTGAAGGTCAGTGTTTCCACTTTGGTAATCTTGTTTATCCTCATTTGGAGCTGAGCTGTGAGTCACAGCTTGGATGTGAAGCCTGACTGAGCCTTGGGACCAGGCAGGGTCACTAAAGAAGGGAAGTAAAACCTTCCCAGGTACTTTTTACAAAGCAGTCCTATTACCCTATTCCCATACATACCGTTCCTCCTACACTTTGAAAAAAAAAAAAAATCACTTTACCATGAGAAAATCATGCTCTAACCCTTGCCCTTGCAAAAACACCTTGAGGAGGAGACATGAGGAAGAAACTTGGTGGAGGTACAAAGAGATCAAGTAGCATCAGAATGTCACACAGCAAATCACAGAAAAAGTGAGAGCAGTGGTGTATTTCATAGACTGACATGTTGTAGACCTATTTTTTTCACACACAATTAGCTCCTGAAATAATTTCTCTTATATTAGGCAAATTCATGATTTTTAATTGTGCAAAGATATTATACTCAAACCCAATAAATTAATCCAAACTCCAAATGAAAATATAGGAGGAACTTGACAGGTGGTTTGTAGACCTGGATATGAACTAAAACCTGCAAAATCCCAAATCTTATCAGTCAGACAAGATCCCCTCCGCAACAGCTTTTTTTTATCAAAATCTCAGATGAATGTGCAGGAATTTACTTGCTCCTGGTGTTGATGCAACGTGTGATACTCCATACATCTTGAAAAGGATTGTTTCATACACCTTGGATTAACAGGCAATATAGATTATCTGTAAAAGAGTTTTAAAAGAAACAGAAGTATGGGGTTTTTTGCATTGTTTGAACATCAGAATGTGTAAGAAAGTATCATCAATATATACCATATTGTTAGTTTTAATATATTCTCACTTAGACAAAAGTGATTGATCCTAGGGCAAATTTGTTTGAAAAGGGGTGCAGAAGTATCACTCAGCATCAGTTACACCTTCTGCAACTCTTTAATAATCTGAGAGTGAAACCTTCCAGCAACTGAAACCCTTAACACAGCTGTACGGCATGTGATTTTCTCAGTTATAATAATGCAAAGTAGCAACCACTAAAAAAGAGTAACATTTAAGAATAGCAGCTTACATATGGGTCCTGCTTTCATTAGAAAGTGTTGACACATACTGATCAAAGTGGCAGAACAAACCACAGCCCTTCCGTTACTAATTTGAATTGTCCCATAAACGTGCAAGGTATGTCTCTGCAGGACGCTTGTTTATCTGCCACCCTCCACAGAAGTAAAATTTAAGGTCAAATAAAGTATATACATATATTTATAGAAGAAACTGAGACACACAGGTATGCAAATGTATTACCGGGGAGGCAATGACTTTCTCTCTTTTGAAGAACAGTTAATAAGCAGTTGTAATTTGCTTTCAAACTATTCTAAGTAATGATAACATCAAGCTTCTGTAAACAGTCATAGAACAGGCAGTCCAATAGATTTTTTTGCCACGTTCGGTCATGAAAGTTTTTGTCTCCTGCATTAATGAGGAGGGTTCCTGAAAATCATAATTCAAACAGTGCTGGAGAAAGCACGGAAACACCATGTAGTAGACAATGCTGCACAGTGTTCTGCTTTCGTTTAATATTCAGTCCCGTTTCTGGGCTATTAATAGCGTGAGAAGCTATAGTAACAACATAAGCAAGCCAAAACAAAGCGTCTCAACCGCCACTGTACAATGAAGCAGTAGTATTATATCTGTAACCCACAAAATGAGCATCAATACAGAACCTTTAAACTATGACATGAGGAAAGGCCAACAGCTTTAAGAAATCTCACTAAAAGTGAATGTGAGGTGAACATGGCAATATTTTATGTGGACAATTCAAATAAAAGCTTAAGGCAACAACCCCCCTTGAATATCAAAACACCCAAAAGCCCATGTTGTAATATAAAAAAAAAAAAATGGTCACTGTCCAAAAGTCAGTTTTAATCACCTTTTCCTCCAAAAATCAAATTAATCTTTAAGCCAATTATGGCCTCACTTGGTAGCCAGCAATCCCCTCTCCATGTTTATATTCTAAATATTTACATTAGTATGTACGAAAATATAGTGCTAATTATTAAAGGAGCCAAAACCCAGGGAACCAGTTTTATTCTATTGTACCTACCAAACACAAGTGTCTACCAAGACAGTGTTATTTGTTCATACACATCAGTCATTTTTGACAAGCAGCCTAGTCTTTTCTCCCTGCAGGTAATGATAACAACACTCACAAAAATACAAAACTTCCTGAAGAGCAGGTTAGAAACGAATCCAAAGCTCAGTTATTCCTCAGCTGACAAATAGCTTAAGAGACAAGTACATGTAAAATCTTCCAAACCTGGAAAATCCATTTAACTATTAACACATGTATGCAAAAAAGTTGCTCATCATCCACACGAGAGGCTCTGAGAGGTGAAGTGTAGGGTGCTCCTCCTGTGGCTTTTGTGAAGAGATTAGCCCTGGGTCTTCGGAGAGGCAGGTTGATGAAGTCCCCTGTTTCCTTTTGAAAACAGCCCGTGCAATCAGCGGCAGAGAGGCAGAATGAAGTCATGAATGAGGTCATGCTTCCTGTAAAGTAGCCTCACAGCAGAAGCATTCATTTTGAAGAGCAAAACGGAGATTAAGATTAGCCCAGTGAACACTCTTGCAGGCTGTTGGGAAAGGGAAGATATGCTATAAATAACGTTTCGCTTCAATTATGATATGGAGAACAAAGACAGAACCTTTTCTCATAAAGAAAAGTGACACAAATTTTTGTTTCGGCTTTGCTTTTCTACCTCACTCAGAAAACTTTAAAGCAGTATACCCAAATCACTAAATTTGTTGAAATACTTGTGAGCCTGACCAGCTTTGATGTAGGAAAATGATCCAGCTACCACAATATCCGTATACAGTAACAAGGCAATTTGCAAAAACACTATTGTAAAGAAGATACATTTGGTGAGAGTTCAGAGTAAGTTTTGCAGTCAAAAACATTATTGCAATATATACCACGCAACGTTAAGATATATTCCTTTGAAAGGAGAAAGGAATGAAGCCATTTGTAAACATATTAATTGTTCCACTCTGTATCTTTCATACGATGTAAGGTACCAATTCATCATACCTTAAAGTATACGAAAATAAACTCAAATCCACGTAAGAGAAATAGAGCCTGAAAAAGATGTCCTGGCAGTCAAAATTATTTGGCTGTAGAGCCATGATGCACAAAAGTAATATAAATCAGCTGCTCGACACTAAAGAGTTATACAACCTTAGGGAGCAAAACTTCATCTCGAGACAAATGGATAAAATATGCTAGTAGGTATCTCTCCTGATGTCTGTATGTATCACTGACAAAAAGAAAGCATAAATCCAGTAAAATATGATTGATTTAATATTTTTCTTCCCTGGAGAAGGAAAAATACTTCCACTGATAACAGAGGAATGTAACAGTCTCACCTCACAGAAAAGGACAAAAAATAGGAGTTAGGCAATTAGGATATTACAAAAGAGCTTATGTTTGCGAGCTAAACCAGAATGAACATTTTAAAGTCCTTTTGCTCAAACGCGAAAATATAGGGCCATGGCCGTTCTTCACATCACTTTTTTTAATTTAGTGGAATTATGCCAATGAGGAAATTTAGTCCGATGCTATTTCCATGGATGCATGGGCTTCATCACAGTAGGATTTCCCAGGACACCGTCTCTCCACAGGCAACAGACGTAAATTCCCAATGGTCTTTAAAACTAGGTCACCTACTGAAGAATTTCTATACCTACATTAATTTGCTGCTTGGGAGTATTTCTCATTTCTTTTCATACTCTTCTTAACAGGAAACAGTTAATTCTGAGCTTGGGCTGCTTTTTTGAAGGACATTTGCCTTTTGTGTTTTTCTGTATAGTTAAAATATACTGTGTCGATATCATATTGAGACTTAGAGGTGTTTTCTTTTTTAATCGCTGGCATTCATATCTGAAACTGACTGCTCCACAAGCTTTTGATGCATAAACTTCGTGCATTAGTGAGTATTTTAGAGGTAGGTGCTAGCCTGTAGTTTATACACAGACAGAAAGGTTTATATGCAACTGTTTTTGTCACCTGTTGCTCCTCAAGCTGCCCGTCCCACCCCGCGCCCCATCCCAACCATCAGGTTTCAAATTTTAGGAAAGGAGTACCCCAGCCCACTCGCTGTGCAGCAGGTTTATGCCTGTTGCACACATTACAAGCTCGACCCACAAAAGGAAGGAAATGAGAAATTACGATACTAACTACCATGTATCGCTCTCCTCTTCTCCCAGGCTCTGCTTTCGTCAACGCTACAAATAAAGGAGAAAACGTATTGCGTTGGGTCTGGCAGTCCAGGAGAGGAGAGGCTGGGGCCCGAAGGTCCCACCAGCATCGAGGCTGAAGACATATACCTGGTAGGCACACGCACGCAGAGCACGTGTATACACCATATACACACATACGTACTCAGCTGGCCACACAGGTCACAGACACACAGAGCACTCACATGAACACAGACAGCACCAACGGCCGCATCCTGCTCCCCGCTCTGGCTGAACAGGATGGAGGTCAACTCGTGAGAATATACAGGTATATACAGATATACATACATCTGCACAAGCTGGACCCTTCCAGCAGCAGGGCTCAGACACTCAGTCTGCCCAGTAGCTTCCCTGAGCTCCCAGTCTCCCCAGTTGCTGGCACCAGGACATATGAACCCCCAGGGCCACAGCCCCACTGCAGTTGCTGGTACAGACCATCACACACTCACATACAGCTGGTCAGGACTCCCCTGGTCCTCCACAGCCCAATCCCTGTGGCATTGCCCTTAGAGACACCCCTGGCCATAATGTGCCCCATGTCCCCAGGCAACAACCCTCCTCTGTCCCAGAGGTGCTCTGGTGTTGACTCATCTGGGTGGGCTTCATGCCCATCACACAGGGGCTGAGGCTCCTCTGGGCCAGCCCTGGGAGGGACCTAGACAGAGTGCCCCTTCTTCTGAGCCCTTAATGTGGGTTCCCACCCTCCTTTGTGCCACAGTTCTCCTCTGGGCTGGTGCAGACCATCCTTTGATGGGCTGATGGCCCCTGGGATGGACCTAGGAGCCTTTGGGGCAGGGCATTATTTGGGCTCCCCCTCCTACCGTGGTCTGTCTGTGCTCCTTTGTGGGTGTGAAGACAAGCTTTTAGCACACATTACACCATAAGTCTGCCATCTCAGCACCCCACTGCAACTGAACGCAGTGCACTATTATGCTAAACACACAATTTCCAGACAGGGTATTTTTCTGGTAGAGTGAATGGAGTGGCCGTGGTGGAGGGAGTAGAGTGCTTATTGATTGAATGCAATTGAGAGTAATCTGACGCTTCTGTAATTCTCTTTGAACCTCCTGGAAAGCTCACAACATTTAGCTTTTCCACCAGCTTCAGTGACCATCAAATCAGGCCATTTGTCCCATATCCCAGCTCTTTGCTAATACTGTTTATATAGTACTCAACAACTTAAAAAAAAAAATAAATTCTGAGATACCTGAAAATTGGTTGAAACATTCAAAAAACTAGCAAGGGAAGGGCTGGTCATGAGAACCTCAGAGCAGCCGCTCTGGGTCAAACTGAAGGTCTACAAAACTCTCCCTGCCTGCAGTCTTGCTGCAGGGAAAACAGAGACTCATTTTAATTCACCTTTGTGAATGATAAAATTTTAAGCTAAGTGCATTCCTTTATGCAGCAGAACTACTTAGCGATGTTTGAGGTACCCTGGTAATTACAAAAAAAAACCCCATTTCTCACAAATCCAGACATTTTATTTCAATTTTAAGAGAAGACTGATCATGCATAAAGTTAGCATTTCATTGCAGTTTACAGAACTGACACATAATAGAAGATTTTAATAACCTTATCAGGTCAGCTGTATGAACAAAGATTAATTTGCTTTAAAAGAGGAGCAAATTAATTTGTAGGGTTATCAGATGGAAATCCCACTCCACCCTATCAGAGACTTTCTTAGTTTCAGGCTTTACTTTTTTCCCCCCCCAATTCATTATTTTAGCTTAATTGGTCCTGCAATAGAGGCAACAAAGGGCTCTTCTGTTTTGCAGGCTGGAGTACAATGCATAGACCTGTAAAACTTAGAATCAGCTCTGAGCTTGCTGATACATCTACACTGCTTGGACCTCAACAAGAACTTACCTGCAATAATGCTATGTCAGATACCACTGTATCATACTACACACACAGTCCAGATAGACAAAAAGTGTTTAGAAAGGATCTAGAAAGGATCTAAATCAAGCAAACCTGTGATGCACAATGATACTTCTCTGTGCAAAGCCACAAGAAGCCTGTGTTGCATCTCCTTGCTCTTTGATTATATGATATCAGAAGGAAATTCGCTTGGTATAGAACTTGATGTAGACACGGGAATGTGCTCAAGAGGAATTTTGTACAATGTCACATCAGTATATAAAAGAACAGTGGAAAAGCATACATGGGGAAAAGAAGTGCTTCCATTAGAATCTGCAACTGCCCCACCTTGCATCCAAAAATACTGCTCCTCTAAAAACTATTTTGGTAGAGGAAGTAAACAAAAGAAAGAGGCTAATACTCAAATCCATCAGTCAAGGCAGAATTTAGTCAAGGTCCCTAACAGACCTCGGGTTGATGCTTATTAGAGTTTTTTGTAAACTTCCTCACAAGAAGATCTGACTGTTAGCAAACAGGAAGGCAGGAACACTAAGAAAAGCAACACACGCATCTATGCTAAAGGTTGGCTAACTAAATTTTATTAAGGATTACAAAAGTTCATGAATTAGCACTCTACAGTGTCTGCAGTGACTAGAAGCAGCCAGGACAGAGCCAGCTGTTGGCCAGTTGTGCTCTAGCAGCACCTTGTTTGCAGAGAATAGAAACATTAATGCACCGATCCCTGGTCTGAATGGAGAAGGAGCGGGAACGGGGCTGGAGGTGGCAGAGGAAGCGTTGTATGAATGGTGCGTGTTCACAATGCCTGGACTAGCCAGTCATCAAGCTTCCAGCACAAATCTTTACGCAGCATCTCAGGACACCCAGACTAAGATGGAAAGGACAGTATGGGGAAATTGCTGACTCTCAGCTCTAGAGGGTGTAAAGGGACATGTCCAAACCCAGCACAATATGGCCAACCTAGGAAGAACCCGTAAGACATGGTGAAGACTCAATTGCCCACATTCCTTGTGCTCCATGTCACCACAGAATCACAGAATGGTCAGGGTTGGAAGGGACCTCTGGAGATCATCTAGTCCAACCCCCCCACCAGAGCAGGGTCACCTGCAACAGGTTGCACAGGACAGCGTCCAGGCGGGTTTTGAATGTCTCCAGAGTGGGAGACTCCACAACCTCTCTGGGCAGCCTGTTCCAGCACTCCACTACTCTCAAAGTAAAGAAGTTCCTCCTCATGTTACGATGGAACTTCCTATGTTCAAACTTGTGCCCATTACCTCTTGTCCTGTCACTGGGCACCACAGAAAAAAAGACTGTTCCCATCCCCCTGGCACCTTCCCTTCAAGTATTTGTAAGCATTAATAAGATCCCTCCTCAATCTTCTTTTCTCTAGACTAAAGAGACCCAAGTCCCTCAGCCTTTCCTCATATTAACCGCAGTTAATGCTGCACAGATCACCAGCACCTTGGTGGCTGGAAGATGAACAGGCCACCTGGATACACGCAGCTTTAGGGTACCACCTAGGTGCTCTAACTAGATACATAAAATCTGAATCTTTAGTTGGGAATTTCCTTGCTACATTATGAGTCCCAAAATGGAAATTAATGTTCCTCTGGAGGCGGTGGTGTACTGCTGATGACTGTACCTGAGACCCTGGGTGGCTTCTGCGACAGTCCTGATGTGATCTGCATGCACCACACTGGGTCACAACAACCCCATGCAGCGCTACAGGCTTGGGGAAGAGTGGGTGGAAAGTTGCCCAGCAGAAAAGGACCTGGGGGTGTTGGCTGACAGCCGCCTGAATGTGAGCTGGCAGTGTGCCTAGGTGGCCAAGAAGGTCAAGAGCACCCTGGCTTGCATTAGAAATAGTGTGGCCAGCAGGACTAGGGAAGTGATTGTCCCACTATACTTGGCACTGGTGAGGCTGCACGTCGAATACTGTGTTCAGTTTTGGGTCCCTCACTACAAGAAAGACATTGAGGTGCTGGAGCATGTCCAGGGAAGGGCAAGGAAGCTGGTGAGGGGTCTGGAGGACAAGTCTGATGAGAAGCGGCTGAGGGAACTGGTGTTGTTTAGCCTGGAGAAAAAGAGGATCGGGGAGACCTTATCGCTCTCTGCATCTACCTGAAAGGAGGATGTAGTGAGGGAGGGTCAGTGTCTTCTCCCAAGTAATAAGTGATAGGACAAGAGGAAACAGCCTCAAGTTGCACCAGGGGAGGTTTGGGATGCATATTAGGAAAAATTGATTCACCAAAAGGGTTGTCAAGCATTGGAACAGGCTGCCCAGGGAAGTGGTTGCGTCACCATCCCTGGAGGTATTTAAAAGATGTGTAGACGTGGTGCTGAGGGCCATGGTTTAGTGGTGGACTTGGCAGTACTAGGTT